GGTTCGTGTGCGGGCGGCACAGGGGGATTCGAAGGGCCCGGGGGACGGCGAGACAAGTCGAATGAACGAAGCACACATCGGGTGGGAGAAGAAAAAGCGTCGAGAGGGAAAGAAGTGCAGAAGCGGGGGAGGGCAGAAGAAGAACGGAAGCTGAAGGCGGAAGAAAAAGCGAGAGAACTTGCGGAGGAAAAGCGAAGGCGGAAGGTGGAGAAGCAAGAAGCGCGCCGGGCGGAGGAAGATCAGAGGTGGAAGGCGGAAGAAGATCGGAGGCTGGCGGAGAAAGAAAAGCGAGCAGCGCGTCGGGCGGAGAAAGAGGGCGGAAGAAGAGCGGAGACGAAATGCCGAGAAAGATTAGCGCGAAGCGCGTCGAGCGGAAGCAGATCGGAGGCGGAAGCGGATAGGGAGCGAAGACAAGCAAGGCTAGAATTTTTTTGCGTCGGTTTACGAAACGAGCGAAAGAAGAAGAAGAAAAAGAACGCCGGGCAAAGGCACAGCAAAGGGGGCCAGAAAAAAAGAGGGGTGGATCGGGCGGGTAAGGCGGTCGCAGAGGTTGAGAGGAGACGGAGGAAGAGCGGGCGAAAACGAGGCAACGTGCAGGTCAAAGAGTGAGTGGCCGACAATCTTTGGGAAACCCTCACTCGATGAGGCACAGACGGCGTTCGTGAAAGTCGTCCGGTGAGTCGGACTGGGTTGTCCTTACGATGCGGGAAGAGGAGGTGGTGAAAAAGCCCCAATTCTGCATTATGACAAATCCGAAGACAACCTAACAGCTTTTCAGAGCGCCTGGAGGGCTGAGCGGTTCAAAGTGCTCATCATCTGCCACAAAATACTCACTGCAAAGTAGATTAAAACTTGGGTGACTAAACTTTTCCTTATAACGGCAACGGGGTGCAATGTACAGATTATCTTAGGCACATAAGAACCAGAAGCAAGTAAAAGTGCTGAAGGTCGTGCCTAATTGTAAAGATATTGGATACAAACATTGTTCGAAAGTTCTTGAGTACCTTTCGATCGCGGTTTACTCAGGGACGAACAGTGTTTCAAAGTACAGGTTGTGGCCGTTTAGGAAGCAAAATAATAAAAGTCCTGCCAGAATCGAAATGCTTGAATCAGCTCATATAGAGGCAATGGAGTTGCCAGCATTTGAAACCATGTGTTCCTGTGTTTCCGTGGTATGCAGTTGACTACAAATAGTTCTCAA